TGCTCAGGGGGTGAAATGCTTACCCCTGGGACTCCGTCATGGGAGTATCCAGAAAGTTTCAAGGGATGAAGAACCGAGGCTGTGCTTGAAATCATTGGTGGTGAGAGCTCTGTCGTCGCCATAAGGAAAATGGGATGATCCGGCGTCGAAGTTAAGTTAGAGGACTGGTTCACATTGTGCGGCTCGCCTTGTGGAAAGACAATCGCGCTTGGCACGATAACGTCTGTGGAAAGGAGAAGATTGGGCGCAGTCATCGGTGAGACTAATGAAGACGAATTACCTACAGACATTTCCACCACCTGAGCTGGCTCTTCGGTAATAGTTGCGGGCTGTGGCATGGGAAGGGGAGTTACCTCGTGGTTGAACATATTTACAGTTTCAGATTTGGTAGACGTATTAACCGCATTTTGGCGAGACTGCTCGCCTTCTGACCTTATTTGTTCGATTACATATGAAATTACAAGGCTACCGCAGTTCCCACCTGGTGCTCGTTGGGCTAAAGAAACATTGCCACTGTGGCTGAGCTGAATCGTTTTCTCGACTGGCGCGGGCGTGAAATCGAACAAAGTGACGGTGGCGCTTCCCATCATGTCCTCCACATCCACAAAGGACAGCTTGTTAATGATCCGTAGCGTCGCAATACACGGCAGGGAGCAGTTCGGAAAAGTAAAGGTGCTGTTAAAATTAGGATTTGTGGATTTGTTTACAACGGAAGTCGAAACGGACTGGCTACCAATGGTAACAGTAACATACGGATTAGAGGTTCCATCTGGGTTTAAGGCAACGAGCGATTCCCCACGGTGGATTGTTAAGTTGATATTTGCGTTTACTGACATAGCACCTTCTTTCTCTTCTAAATAGGAAAGGAGGGGAGAAAGGAAAAATTCTCCGATATTGAACGAATATGAAATATTATGCTCCTACGTGCGTGCGTATTGAAAAATATGATTCTTAATAATATTTTCAATAAAATCAAAAAAATTTCCTCTATAATTGTAATGATTGTAAATAATATCACAACCTGTGAAGGTAAACCAAATTTATTTTCAAGCGAATGACTTACTGAACAAAAAAAGGTGGATAAGGGGAAAATGATAGCTGTCAAGACTTAAAGTGTACAATAAATAAACAAGTTTTGAAAGAATACTGACCGGTATACAACCAATCATTCAAATAACAAAAATCATTCTTATCAGGCCCAAATATGTGTATATATTGGGAATCTTTGTGATGCTTCTTGTTTTAAGAATCAATCAATTTGATACAAATAAAGACTACAACATATTCATAAACGCTAAAGTTCATATTGGCAAAAGTAGTAGTAATCATGAAAGTTGTCAAAATTGGTGCATATTCAAAAAAAAAGGCTTCAATCTGAAAAATCAATAAACTTGACGAGAAATCCTTTGGATTACACTTTTATAATCGTAAAGAAAAAATATCCTTCAGTTGTCTGTTTGAGTTCACCGGTGAGAGTATACATATAAAAACACCTGTTCTGGACAAAGAAGAATATAATCAAGGAAGTAATAGCATCCAACATTAGACCTCAAAAAAAGGTGAAACTATCGCTCTCAATACAGAAAGAGAAAAAAAGGATATCATTTGCCTCAATTCAAGAGACAATGAATATTCTTTGTAAGTTCCCTCGCTGTTCCTTTTCTTTTACATCCGTCAATGATATCATTTTTTTCTTTTAAAAAGGATTGAAATGTATACACCATCGCAAGAAAAAAAAAACGAAACCTTATTTTCGTCTACAAAATAAGAAAAAAATTACCCCTTTAACCACCACCACAACTTTGTGGAGGGGGAAGGAAAGGAATAATAAATATGTATATAGATAGATCTTATTCCTTCTCACACACACCTACTGATGAGATGCCCAGTTGCTCAAAGTAACCCCCACTGAGGTACCTATTAGATTCAGCGACTTGTGAACCGCCCGGCGCGCTTGAAACTCTCCGACGAGGTCTTTCACGCCCAATCTCTGGCGATGAATATCGCGTAAACGCCGTTCACACGCCTCGATTTCCTTTTTGAGCTCCACAGATCCTTCATTTGCTGCTGCGGTGGTCTGGTTAAAATACGAATGAGTTTTCCACTCCGCTTGCGTGCAGTGTGAGACTTTAGACTTCTTCGCCGAGCTATCCCCGCGCTGGTGATGAGGTGGGGTTTCGCTCTCCAGCTGAGTTGTGTGGAGAAGATTCAGACGTGTCTCTGTTAATGTGGTGGCGATGTCTAAATCGTTCAGGGCGGCTTTGTAGGAGCGCTGGCGGGTGAGGAAAACCGCACGGAGCATCCACAGCGCCGCGTTATGCGGTGCATAAAGCAACGCCGCCGTGCATGCCTCATAACCATGTATGCACAGCCCTTCCAACTCAACATAAATAAAAGCAATAAAAAAAAAGCATTCCTCTAATAATCGGTAGCGCTTAACCCTCAGGGCATTGGTAACCCCATTGCCGTCATCGTCATTGGTTTTATTAGTCTGAGCAGACTCCACCCCAAGGATCGCTGGAAAGTAGTGGGCGTAGAGATCGGTATACGATTCAGGCCGCATCACGACCTCATCAATGTTGAAGATCAACAGAAACACGCACAAATAGAGGCGCTGGAGTGCCTTCAAAAGAATACGACGGTGAACCAAATAGAGATGCGAATCGTGCGGCATCAAAGGATCGGATGGGAGAACGTTCACCATGGACGTGACGGTTTCTAAATCGTTCCAGACGACTTTACAGGTGTTATCTGAGTTGTTTGGCCTTTTTTCGCCCCCATGGGTTGACGGCATTGTGAAACTTCTAAGAAAATACGAATGCTTACCCTTCTCGGCGTAGTGCAAAAAAGTGCTGGATAAGCGTTGGAGGTAATCGCTACAAACGGAGGCCGGGGCCATGGCGAACGGGATATTACTCCCCTGCTCACCTTCTCCATTCCCAGCAACGTCAGTGCTCGGAATAGAAACCGGTTTCCCCTTCGGGGGGTTTTCATTGCAATAAAGAATCAAGGCGCAGGCCTCGGAAAGGATATTTACCACCACCCCAATCGACGTGCTAGGGTTCGAAAAGTAAAAGCTGTCGATTTTAGTTCCTAACCTCGGCATTGTCGACTCCTCAGACCCGCCCTCGGAGGACGGCGACGCGTAGTGTACCTGAAGGCAATACACGTGCTCACGACGACGCTTTTGCGCGGAGACGATGTGGGTCGCATAGCGATAGGCCGCCGCGCTGTCAGCGGTTGGGAATTCGTAATTGCCGTGATTCGGGGTCCCTAACAAATTGCTCAAAGCCTCGGTCGCTTTTGAGGCGGTAGAAGGGTTAAGCGAGGAGTTGGGGCTTCCCCGACGAGGCGCCCCACCGATCGCCCCTGAGGTGGCCGTGAGATCCATCGTTTGCAGGGAATCCTCGACGACGGGCACGGAGCAGGGCGTATTGGCCGGCGCCGTGAGGTTGCTGACGGAATACGCGGACGTATTCCGCTCAGAAGTCGCCGAGAGGTGGGTTTTCATGAGGATGGCGGATTCGCCCGCGCGTGGGCGAGCCTCCCGGAGGCGCTCCACGGTGGCGATCGCCTCTAGACGCGTCTCCGTCAAGACAGACCCCATAAAGCGCTCGTCCTGCCCATCCCCGTAGTAGTAAAAGAGGTTCGTCGAGGACGGCGCGGCGGCGGCGATGGCGTAGTCGATCCAGCAAGGCAGCCCGATCGCCCCGACGGCGAAGCCCGCGAGGGCGTAGCGTTGGTTGAGGTCGGCGTGCAGGGGATGGCACTCCACGAGGTGCCCGCCCGAGAGGATCGTGGGCTCCTCCCCCTCCACACCGCTGGGGAAAGGAGGCCGTAGGGGGAACTTCTCGAGGCTGCGCCGCGCCCAGAGGTCGAGGAGATCAGGCGGGAAAATCGCCACGGCGGCGTGGAGGGCCTCGGCGAGAGAGGCCGGGGGCCGATCGTCGCCGAAGATGGGCTTGTGTTTCTTTCCATTCCACCCATTCGCCCCGGGGATGGCGAGAAAGATGGCGAGGAACAGCG